ACCGAAGCATAAGAATTATTACTGCCCTATAAGCTAGTTGCGACGAAGTTTTATCCATTATGACAGGTAAGGCCGCTGCTACTGATTTGTATGAGTCTACAGAAGAAGCTATTAGTGGAACGAAACACAGAAATAAGTGAACGAATTTGTGCTAAATGCTTTTTTGCCTTTGTAAATTATTGTTTTCCCAAAAACAGGAAAAAAGTCACCAAAGCCGCCTGTCCTACTTTAATAACACAAAATAGCCAAAATCAGAATTTAACATCCCCTCCGTATTCAACCACTACGAAGGACGGGGCATTATTATTATCATTGTTATTTTTATGATTGCTACTGTTACTGCTACTACTGTTATTATCATTATCACTGTCATTATCATTACCACGACAGCAACAGTAATAAAAATTACTATCAAATAATTACAACGATAATTAATATTAGCATTAGTGCTGTTGTTATCATTTTCTTTATTATTATTGTTGTTGTTATTATTATTATCATTGTTATTATTATTATTGTTATTATTATTATTGTTATTATTATTATTATTATTGTTATTATTACTATTATTGTTATTATTATTATTGTTATTGTCATTATTGCTGTTATTATTATCACTATTATTAATGTTATCATTATTATCATTATTACTACTGTTACTATTATTGTCGTTACTGCTATTATTATTGTTGTTGTTTATTGTCATTATTGTCAATATTATTAGCACTGCTATTATTACAGAGTCATTACCACGATTATTATCCAATACCAACAAAAGAGCATTTAGCACAAATTGCATGAATGCAAAGCTCCAGAGCAAAGTCGATTTGAGAGTAAAACTTGCCGATATAGCACAACAAAGTCCGACCTTCTATAGATGCCAGTTTCCACATATTTTGCAAACCAGCCATTTTTGTTTGCAGCGTATCCAGCCATGCACGTTCACGGTCAGCCCATTTCGCTTTCGAATTACGATATAAATCTTTGTATTCAGTCAATTTGGCCTCATCGATTTTCACCCAATCCGGTATCGACAAATCCGGCAAACTTTTTTTCCATTCTTCATAACGCTACAGAAAAAAAGGACTCTTTTCGCTCAGTAATATGTAACAAATAGTAACGCGCACCACACTAGTCGGTGCGATCATGCGTTTTGTGCAATTCAGCCCATCGAATGATTGCCTATTAATGATTTTCACTGC